ACTCCCAGTTTGCAGGTGGTGAAAATGAGTCTTAGAGGGATTGAGTGTTTGAGGAAGGCCTCAGGTCTAGGAAACATACAACCCAGATTCAAAGCCCTGCATGTTGGGTTTGTAGGGCTGGAAAGCCATGATGAAACCGGTACCTGTCTGTTCACGGAAACTTTGTAATGTAGACTCCAAAGCATATTTTCTTTAATGCCTGAAACATGCACTCCCTACCTCCCTGCCTTTGCTCCTGCTGGTCCCTCTGCCTAGAATTCTCTTCCCTTCTTCTGCACTCAAGTAACTCCCATCCATCTTTCATATCTCAGCAAAAAATTTTGCCTCGGCCATGCAGACTTCTTTAATATCTCTCCTTACTGCAGCTACAGCAAGAATGACTACTTTATATACCCCAACATATTGCATATTATTGAATCCTCTACACACCCCAGGATCTTCTGGTAACTATCCTTAGTTACAGGGAAAAAAAATCCAAATTTTTTATTTTAGCTATCAAAGCTGCCTCCCATCTTTCCCAGCCTGCCTTTCAACGAGAACTTGCAGCTCCACCAGGTTTCTCCAACTAAATGAGCCTACTGTGTACTCTTCCCCACCCACAGCTGTGCTTTCCTCTTACCTCCAAGCCTTTGCTCATGCTGTTGCTCCCACCAAGAGTAGCCCCACCCTTGCTCCGCCGCGTCTCTGTATTTGGCCTCTCTGCAAGCCCCAAAGTCCTGGTGATGTGCCCTCAGCCTGCCAGCACTTGAGAGAAATTCTGAAGGATTTGAGGAATGAGTTCCTAGGTCCCTGCACCCCTGTGGCATCGTGTTCTCCCTTGGGTGAGACACGAATGTAAGTGTCTCATCCACTTTCACAGGCCAGAAGCTCATTCGACATAAGGTCTCCAGTGACTGTGCCTTGCACTGAGTAGGAGTTTAAAAACACTAGGTGTGGTGGCTCACTCCTATAATCCCAACACTTTGGAAGGCTGAGGTGAGTAGACTGCTCGAGGCCAGGAGTTTGAGACCAGTCTGAGCAATGTAGTGAGGCCCTGTCTCAAAATAAATAAAAAATAAATGAAAGACTGGTTGAAAATGTTTGTTGAAGGACTGGTTGAAGGTTGGGGGTATAAAGTCAGGATTGGAGACATGATTAAATCTACATGGAGGCTCAGTAGATCTTGGAATAGAATACAGGAGCACATTTAAATGAACAACCAGGGCAGCCAGGAGCATGACTAGACTACTTTGCCAACATGCTTGATTTAATTTAGGAGCCCCTGCACTTACACCTTTGACCCAGTCTTCCAAGGAGCCCAAAGGTTTCCTCCATTTGAAGTACAAAAGTCTTGTGGGACTCCCACTTTTTAAAAGGTATAACATTATTACAGAGAATATGTGCCAAGAAGATACCAGAAACACACCGCCAGCATGGACCAGACATTGCTTGAATGATGGGTCAATACCTACAATGAATGCAGATTCTAAGAGCATGTTTCTTTAATGTCAGTGGCAAGCACGTACTGTAGCTAAAAAGTTTACCTTTATTGATGTTCTGATGCCTCTGCAACACCGTCTGCAGGTTTTTCAAATGGCAAATGGTCTGATATTTTCAAAAGGGTACATAGTTAAGGATGGTGGTGTGAATGTCTTGATTTAAAGTGCACATGTAGAACACTGGTAGAGACTTAAAACCATACATTCTACCTGCTATGCAAAGGCACATATGAATACTTGACTTACATAACTATTTTGTCTTCTTAAAACATTCAGTGACATCCTTCACTGAGTTTATTTTCCTGGATATGCAGAATGACCATAGAACTTCTAGGCCAGGAGTAGTGACTGACACTTATAACCCCAGCCCTTGGGGAGACCAAGTGGAAGGATCACTTGAGGACAGGAGTTCAAGGCTACAGAGAGCTATGACTGTGCCACTGCACTCCTGCAGCAGAATAAGACCCTGTCTCTAAAAACTAAAATAAAATAATAAAATAAGAGCTTCTCAGGGCCAGTGCCAAATGAAACTGTGAAGTAAAGTAAACAAAGCTAGTCTTTGATGTCATCACTTACCTCCTGTCCCCTGGGCCCAGGAGCCTGAATGGCCTCATCTTATTTCTCCCTATCAACCGAGTCTTAGGAAAGGTTCTGTGGTTTCTTCAAACTGAAATATAAGTTATTTGGGGAGAATTTAGAGGATTGTTCTGCATATGTACTCTTGCATCTAGCAGAGATCAAAGTCTTAAGCTAAAGGAATGAAGCTCTCAAACAGTAGCTTTTAAGCATAAGATATAAGTAAGAGTTGAAGATTTCCCCACAGTCTATAAGAGACTATCATCACTTCCATGCAAAGGTGCAACCATGGGCCTATGAATGAAGGTGATTTTCAAAGATCATTTCTTATTGAAGTACCTTTGTTGTTTCTATTCTGCTTTCCTCTCCTACTTTTTCACCATCTGGCCAGCCTCAGCCCTACAAACTGGTACTTCTCTTGGACTTCACTGCATGTATTTGTTGTGACTCTTTGGTTGCAAGCAACAAGAACCATTCAAACCATCTTAAGGAAAAAAAAAGACTCATGTAGCCAAACCACCAAATGTAAGGATTGTGCTGACTTTGCAGTTGAATAGGGCTTAATCATTAACACTTTCCACACACACGTTTCTTTCTTCTTCTCTCTGATTCTGTTGGCATTGGCCTCATTACCTTCCACTTCCCAGATATCAAAGGACATTAGTTGTACAGTTCTCAAAAGAACTCCAAAATGCAAGCTTCAGCTCTACCTCAAGTCAAGTCAGGGAAGTCTGGGGAAGGATTGGGTAGCTCAGATCACATGACTACTTACTAGACCGACCACTGGATATAGGCAGGTGTGGTGTGAAAATTGTCATCTATGTGATAGCCTCTTAAGAAACACAGGTTGTGAGGTAACATTTCTTTCTTCATCTACAAAATGAGTGGGTAGAGATAGCTCTAAAAGTCTTACCTTTAACCTGAGTCTACTGAAAAAATCACTTCTTCATGTTTGGTATTCTGATTGCTGTATCTTTGTCTCCAGTCATTTTCCTACCTCCCACCAGAAGGCCAGATATCATTGGGAGACTAATGATCTCTTTGGCTTAATTCTAAGTCTGTCTAAATAGGCAAGGAGGCAGCCCCTGTGGCGCCCCTCATACGAGACAGTAAAGTGCCCTAGTTCAGCTTTGATCTAATTTAACCATCATTTGTGCTGCATGACAAAAGATGGTCACAATTTCAAACTTTGCCAAGCATCCCAAATTTAGCATTTTGCCTGAGTTAAAAAAAGAAGCAGATCCAGTAGAAGGTCAACTAGAAATTTTCCTGTGTGCCATTATGCTGGGGGCATGAAAGGATGCTTATGCAATTGGTTACATTTCAGATGCAGCCCAGGTTCAAAATGGCTAATATGCAATGGTGTTCTAGGTTATTCATCTATTTCCATCCCACTGACCAAACCCATATGAAATGAATTCAGTGAAATACTTCCCCACCTGCCAAAAAAGCCCATGGGTCTGTCTTCTCTATCTTTTCCACACCTTTGTGGTAGTAATCTTTGGTCATATCCACCTCTCTTATGAGACCCTTAGTTCATAGAAGACAAGAATTACATCTTATTCTTGTTTATTCCACCTTAAGTCTATGCTGTATCCATCATACGAGGCTACTTGGAATTCTAGAATCCAACTACATATGTGTGATCTTGGGCAGGTCATCAATCCTTTCTCACACTGTTTTCTTACCTTTAAAATAGTAGCAATAACACCTCCTCTACTGTACTGGAGGAAAGATGAAATGAGGTGATGAACAGTAAAGTGTCTGACATAGAACAGAATGTATAGCAGAGGCATATCTGTGGATTTGTCTTATTGTTAAGTTCCCAAATGACACCAAGAATGATGACTTGAATGGCAGTATAAGTAGAGTGTTTACAATCCTGGGATCGAATCCAAGCTCAGCCACATACCAACCAACTGTATGATTTTGAAGTTTCTCAGTGTTTCAAAACCTCAGTTTCTTCATATGTAAAGTAGAGATGATGTTAATATCTACCTCACAGATTTAACTGGATAAAGAGAGGGAGTATATATATACTTATTGTGTGTGTATGTGTGTGTGTGTGTGTGTGTTTGTGTGTGTATGTATGTATAGCACCTACCATAGTATCTAGCACGTACTAGATACCTGATCAATGGTAATACTTGTTCTCATCTGTAATGGAGGGTGAAAAAGGAAGCAGCAAGTTTACAGCAAGTCCCTTGGATGCATTGTGTGTTCTCTGGTCTTTTCCTGCGTTACACATTCTGATGAAGATGAACCCACATTAATAGAGGCAGTGGTTAATTGCCTCCTTGTGGGCTAGACCTGTCCTGAGGCAGCAAATTACCATATTTTTTTTCTTTTCTTGAGACTTCCAATGGGATATGTCTGTTCTAATTTAATAAACCTTTTTTAGTGCCTGGCTCAAAGAGGCAATACCACATGTACATTTCCAAATGCATAATTTGTATGAACACTCAGGCCCTTACTACATGGGGAAAGCAGTGTGGGGTGGAGTATCTGTTCATATTCATTTGAACTTGTGCCAGCCGAACTTCCACAGTTAATTGTATCTCAGCTATTTTCTCCTGGAAAAAATATTACTATGCAGGCTTCTAATTGTTGCTTGGCCTTCATTCATTCCTGACTCTTGAGTTGGCATTGTTTACAGCGTTGAGTCAGCAGCAGTCATAATATGTTAAGCAAATGGAGCACACCTCCCACCCCAAGCATCCCTCCCCAATTCCAAGTTAATCAACCCATTTCCTTTCTTGTGGTTCCAACAATACAAGAGAAAATGGAAGATGTGCATAACGGAAGTTTATCTCTTTGGAAAAGCATTCTCAAGGTTCACATTGAGACCAGGGAGGATCAGACGGCAAGTAGCCATTAACTCTGGGAGACTCTATGAATGGGAAAGGTCAGCCCCCAGGAAAATGATGGTCTTCCTTCCATTTACAGGTAATGCAGGTGGTGAAGGAACAGGTTATGAGAGCGCTTACAACCAAGCCTAGCTCCCTGGACCAGTTCAAGAGCAAATTGCAGAACCTGAGCTACACCGAGATCCTGAAAATCCGCCAGTCTGAGAGGATGAACCAGGAAGACTTCCAGTCTCGCCCGATTTTGTAAGTTACCCTATACTGGCCTCTATCCCTGCAAAGTTTCTCATCCATCATTTCTGGAGTGATCACCTGTCACAAAGCTGGGCTGTGTTGTGAGCTCATTAGGGAAGGCCAACAGAAGACATTCCAGGGGAACTCAATTTAGTTAGAGGCGTCTCGGCAGCTCCTTAAGGCAAAGCTTGGCAAGGTGGGCTTAATGGAGTGGGTCCAGGTGCTGGCAAACTAGATCTAAACCAGGAACTGGCCCAGTAACTGACAAGTCCTCCAGGGATTTCTAGCTAAAATGTTTTGGGCCTTTTCCAACACTTGGAATAATTTTCTTTCTTTTTCTTGTTTTTTTTGTTTTTTGGGTTTTTTTTGCTGATGAAACTGGATCCTATGTACGTGACCTTTAAGTGGCAAGATCTTCTGATTCAGTCTGAGTGAGGCCCACCCAGAATTAAAGCAATATGAAAACTGAAGTAGTATGAGTATGAGTAAGTGGGAGTGGAAGCTTGAGAGGCAGATTCACTTTCTCCCTGTCTGGTTGGCACTGGTTGGCATCAGAGTGTGTTGTATGGCCCCTGTGACTATGAACCTCCAGTGAAGGGGAAGCAGGCCTCCTGCTTTTTACAGGTTTTAGCATCAAGTGCCACTTACAACTGTTGCAAAATTTCATGTACTCTACCTTTAAAATGGTCTGACCCTCAAACATGAGGACTGTTTTTCTTGCTTCATCTTTTCTTAGAACTGACCTGTTTATCTTACCTTTTTCTTTTCCATGAGCTAGATCAGTTTTGTTACCCTTATATTTTAAAGGGAAGAAGGTAGGAAAAAGGGTGTAGGAAAGGTGTTTGACATTTATTCTCATTCTGTCCCCAAAAGACTGGACAGAGCTTCTGAACTCCCCCCGAACTCTCACTGTTTCTGATTCTTTCTTTTTCTGTTTCTTGTGCTCAAATATTTGACCTTAATTTTTATGCCTGGCAATTTGCAAAGCACCCCTTGTGCTATTCCCTTTCTTCACATCCCTGGGAGACAGGCAAGTCTTATTTCCATTCAAAGGCTAGGATGTAGTCTGGAGGAGTAATGATGTTGCTAAGAAGTGGGGGAGCTGGGACTTGAATTTGAGTTTGCTGATCCCTTAGTGAATATTTTGTTCATCCCACCAGAGCTCCTTTGCCATGGGAGAGACCAAACATAGTTTAAAAAGTGCACAGGTCTGAAAAGACAGTAGTCAAGCTCTAACATTTACTGTGTGTTTGTTTTCAAATCTTAAGAAGCACTATTAGAAACTGCAGAGGAGAACTGCAGACTTTAGTTGGCATGAAGTTAATCAGGAGTGGAGGGAAAAGGCTTTCAAGGAGCTTTGGCCTATATCATTGCAAAACCTAAGTCATACCCACATGAGCACCAGCCAGCCCTCACAAGTGGCACCACTGGGGTTTTGCATGGGTCCTCAGCCAGAAACACTGAGAAGAAAGCACTTTGGATAAGTGACAGGCTCCTTGGAGATGCAATTTCTCACCTACAAAGAGGGACAGGGGCGCCTTACCCGATCCCAGGACCTGCAGTACTGACACGCTGGAGTTCATAACATCTGTTTCAGCAGATGTGTAAACGCAAGGGTACTTTATTACGCTTTTGGCAATAATTCTTAAAACCTAACAGAGACTTAAGGAAGCACTTCAGTTAAGACCAAGTGATTCTAAATTAATGTTTGACCTTGACTTTGTTCCAAGTAAGAGCGTTAACTGCATGTCAAGTGTGAACATTTTGCTCCTGCCTTGGCTTTCTATTTTCACTTCCTAAGTAAGGGTTTGCTTGTGACATTCTGAAATTTCCTTTCCCTTTATTAGAAGAAATTCTTATCTTTACCTCTCCTATGTAAGAAGAAGCAACATAAATAAAAATAAGACCTCCTGTATGAATATAGCTTTTGTATCATCCCTCAGTCACAGACTGAGAAACACCATGGCTCACTGGAGTTCTTAGTATATATAGTTGCAGTAGAGTCACAAAGAGTTGTTTAAAGGTACAGCATTTAAGTGGGAAAGCCAGGGACTAGTATGATCAATCATCCCAGTCTCTGAAGCCAGCAGGTGGGAGCTGGGATACATTTTTATCTGTTAGAGTGATCTATTCTTCTGTGATCCATTTTGTTTATTAGAGTGATGGACTAGACAGGAGCTAAACGCTGCCAAAATGGCTCCCATGATAAACCCAAATTACCTGCAAGAAAAGGATAGATCATGTTTGTTTTCATTCACTCATTCATTTAAGACAACTACATACCAGGCCCTGCCCAAGGTGCTAGGGGCAGGAAGAGACCCAGAGACACTTGGCCTCCCACTGTCCTAAGCTTTGTTTATTTTATTTACTAATTTATTTTGAGTTGGAGTCTCACTCTATCACACAGGCTGGAGTACAGTGCAGTGGCACACTCACGGGCACCCCAGCATCGACCTGCTGGACTCCAGCAATCCTTCCACTTCAGCCTTCCAAGTAGCTGGAACTACAGGTGGATGCTACCACACCCAGCAAATTTTTTTTTTTAATTTTATAGACAAAGTCTTGCCA